ATATAAAATTTAATAACTTTTATTTTATCTAGTGAAATTCAATAATATTATAATCAAAATGCTCATATTATCGACATCTATTACAAACAAAAAATTATGCGGTGAAAATTTATAAAAAATTAAGATATCATATCTTTTATAACTTTTGACCAAATTAAAATGCAAAAAATACAAAATACGAAAAATTCTTGAAATAAAAAATAAGATAATGATTCCTTACAATGAGATGAGTAAAATTTTCAACATGGTTGACTGACAAAATTTGTTCCACCACCTCCAACAAAGGTTTTTCTTCTTCTTTTCCCTTTATTTTCTTTTATTTTTATCAATTCTATCATTATTAGAAAAATAAATAGAAATTAAAAAGGTTTTAATAGATTAAATTAATGGGTTAAGATATTTAGGTTAAAATAATAATATATTATAAATGTAATTATATAATTTATTCAATTTCCAATATAAAATTCATATAAAATTTTTATATCTTGAAATTTAAAAGCTCAAAAAATTATTAAAAAATATTCATAAAATAACCCGCCATATTTAAAAATTTTGATTAAATTGGTTTGTAAAAAGGACTCCTAATGATCCCAAAACCCTCACTTGTAATGACATGTATTAATTTCTTAAGGTTTTGCATTAATGTCCAAAATCTATGAAAAAATTAGTGCAATTAAAGCACTATAATATTTATGTTATGGCGAAGACAATTTGTGATTTTAACTTATAATAGCTCCTTAAAAATATTTTTCTAAGTCAAAATATGAATTTTTACAATCTGCACACCTTAAAAAATATTATTTTAGACATTTTTCTTAAGAATTTGGGCACAAAATCAATATAAATCAAATTCATTTGATCAAAACTCAAATCAAAACTCGTAAAAAAAAAAGACAATCATGTATTTCTTTCTATCATATAACATTCAATTATGATTACAAAGTAATGCACCTTAGTCTACCCAATCTATCTGACTCACAATCAATTCATACATCTCTAGCATCAATTCTTCCAACAATATTGCTCTAATACCAAGTTTTTGATGCCTTAGAATCTAATATTGAAGAAAATTATTTTTTTATCTTTTAATATATAACAACTAGAGTTATAGAATTTTTCATATTAATATAAATACTAGCGAAAATAAAACCTTTGATCAAAATATCAATATATGTATTCATATTTATTTCTCTAAAAATTATGTATACTACTCATGATCTATACAACTAAATCACAATTACTTTTTCATCAGTATAAATAATAGTTAAAATAATAAGAACTTAAACTTGAATGATCCTGATCAATCTCACACTTCTACTCCCTTATCCTTATTTAATATTATTTAACCACATATAATAAACTCAAGAGCTCAATAAGTACCAAATATTTATAATTAAACTCAAAGCATGATAAAGGAGCAGTCAAATCATAATAGTAATATTTATATGATCATGAATCAATGCAGAAATAATAAAACTCACACACAGTAGCAATAAAGTTTGTAAACATAAAAATAATACGATATAGAAGCCAATATAACAGTACAATAAAGCAATTAGTAAATCAATAGTGGTGTCAAATTCATAAAGTAGTCGTTATATCAGTACTATCAATTAACAAATAAATTATATAAAGAGAAAAAATCAATGTATTAGTAAGGACTATAAAAATCATATAAATATATGCACATGTATCTTATTAGTATCTTAATCATATGATCAATATATAATGTGCTCAATATTTCATATCTTCAGTATATTACGTGCTCAGTATATCACATATTCAATATTCACTACAGGAAAACCCGTTATTACCGGCGGACCGAATCCGCCGGTAAACCGTAAAATATGACGGAAACCATTGGTTTCCGACACATTTCCATCAGAATTTCATATGCCGGTTTGGAGCGCGTCGAAAAATTTCTTCAAACGTATATTAGACGCCAAAAATCTTTCCGGCGCACGTTCTGACGCATTACCGACGCAAAATGTGTTAGAAAATGCCATCTTTTTTCCAGATTATTCCGGCATTATATACGCCAGAATTTACGACGCATCTATCCGCCGGAAATGCTGGAGGATAAAATGCTGTAAGGTGCGCCGTAACAAAAGGTACGACTTCTTTCTGGCACCTTTCTGCGTCAGAAATGTTGGCGGATAAAACGCCGTAAGCTGCGTCGTAACTAAAGCCACGACTTATTTTCGGCGCCATTTTTGTCGGAGTTTTCGGCAGAAATAAAATGTCGGCGACGTCTCATGAACGTCTACAAAGCTCGACAGCGATCTAGGGTGGGCGACGCTGGGGTGACGAGAGAGACCAGAGATATGAGAGAAATGACGAATGAAATGAGCAGCCATACGAGGCGTGTTGGGAAATAGGGCTTTCGACGATAGATTTTCTGTCGTCCTGGACGCCGGAACATTTTTCGACGCCATGTTCATCTATTCCAAGTCGTTGAGTTTAAAATAGCCGACGTTTTATCTACCGGTAACTACGCTGGACCTAATTCGCTGTAAAGTCCGCCAAAAATAATGAAATGCTGCTAATTTTCGACGTTATCACCAGCGCATGGGACATCGAGAAGTTTTCGTCGTGGGATGCGCCGGAAAGAATGTCGTTATTATTCCTTCGCATGATGCGTCAGTACAAACGCTGTATTTACCGACGCAAAAAATTCCGCCGGAACATCCGACTGTATTCTCATGTTTTCCTGTAGTAATTAATATAATAAATTAGTAGTATCAAACAATATCGATGTTTGTATCAATACAATAATAGTCTATTGTTATTAGTAAAATCAGTGGTAGTAATAATAAAATAATGCAATAATAGTGAGTCCATATATACAATAATATCAAATTAGTACAATAATTACGAGATTGTATAGTAATAATTAATCTATAACATGTATTTCAGTAAGCATATTAAATATGTCAGAAGTCCTAATTTAGGTAGTATTTTTAGTAGTAAGCTAGTTATTAGTAATCATTGGCTCAGTAAAGAGAGTCATCACTATTTGTCCATCGTTATAATAATTACTTCTTATAACTACTAATCAGTGTATCATATGAATTAGTAGAAGATAATATCCAATCACAATATTTAATGAAAGCCCATCGACCCATCATCCTGTACAGGTCAGTCAGTCTCCAACCAACGTTAGTGAAATTAGATTTTTACTTGTCTTCATACATATTATTATTATAACATGAATAGCAAGCAGCTTTTACGCAATTATACATCTATTTTCATTTATAATATTTGTATTAACACTATGCTTAAATAAAATAATAATTATTTATTCAATGCAAATTGTATAAAAATACAATAATTTCTATTTTACCAGGTAAACTTCAATAATACTATTGTTAAAATATTCATATTGTCGACATTTGTCATATACTAACAGTTATACAGTGAGAGTTTACTAAATATCAAAATATCATAATTTTACAAATTTTGATCAAATTAAAATGTATAAAACACAAAATACATAAAATTCTTGAAATAAAAAATAGGGCAATGGAACAAATTTTCAGACATGGCTGATTGATGAAAATCCTAGAATCCCAGTAACATCCAAAACCTTCAATACGAAAATAGTGAAAACCCTAAATATAAAATAGTCAGAGAGATACAAACAAATGTAAAATTTGTTGGGCTCGAGTTCGCTGAAGATATACGAAACAAGGTGCGACAAGTAGCTTGTTGGCACCGACATCTACTAGAGAACTAACAAGAGAAAATGAGCAAGAGCCAAAAAGGAAATAGAGGAAACAGAGAAAGTTGAGAAGAGAATGAGAAAGAACGATAAAACGAGCCACTAGAGCCAACCATTACCCATGCATTTTTTTTAAACCTAGTTTAAGAAACACGGGTTTGCATTCATGTCACATTCCAGTTTCCGGATCAACCTGCACCTTACCTTTCTAACAGATGGGTTAACCCGAATCTAGAGCTCACCCCTACTTATATGCCTTAATTAAGCTAATTAAGTTATACTTAATATAATTAAACATATCAACAAATAATTATGTAGTGATTTACTGAATTAATTAAATAATAATTTTATTTAGGCAAATTAATTCTAAAATAAAATATTTATTAACTTAGGTTAATTAATAAACATAAATTACTAAGATTAAATAAGTTCCTTAATGAACACATATATATCTAATTTGTTAGATTAAATATTGAAAAATTCTAATTAATAAACTTATTATCAATTTTACTTTTGTTAACTAAATTATAACTAGTTGAGATAATATTTTCCCATCAAATTTACTAGAATACAATAATTACGCAAAAATTATTGTCCGAACTTTTTTAGGAAAATTATAATACCATTAATAGTTTAAAAAAATAATTTCTGAAAATTTCTTTAGCGTTAATTGCATTGATAATTATAACAACCAAATTAATCTTTAAGTATTATGCTTCAATACTAATACTAGCTAATTTAATTGATAAAGATTTTAAATTTATTATTAAATTTCAGGAGATTTACACATTTATCATAAATTTTTTATATATTTATTCATCTAATTCCTAAAAATTTATTTTAATTTCTATACTATTTTAGCATTTAAATCAAATCAAAATATATGAGAATATAATATTATTTCTCTGTAATTTATATTTATTATTTTTTGGTGAAACTGATGGAGGTAAAAGACTCACTAACCGATCTGTTCAGACAACAAATAGCTGAGTTTAGTAATTTACATTATAGTTGCAACGTCTATGCTTAACACGTTTCGTACATTCATTGCGTATTTAAGCTGTTCTCTGTTCTGTTAGAAGTCTTGCTTCTTGCATCGTAAAGGTCGGGAGGCGTTGCGGGGTCGCCGGCTTCGTAGTAGCCCATCATCCTATTTATAGCATAGTAGCCATTGGTGATAAGTGCATGGGCTTATCCAATTTGAATTGATCTGTACTCTAACTGATAATTAGCAAAATCATCTAGATATAAATTTACATATCTGCATTGAACATCCAATTTTTTTTGGTCTGAAACTCTGAATTAATATTTGGGGTGGGATGTGCGTTGATTTTTCATTTTTTTTTTATCTGAATTAATAAATAATATTCTGAGTGGGATGTGTGGGTGAGAAGGGAGAGTCATCTCGCAGCTGGTACTTCTTCTCCTCCTGCTCGGACTCCGATCGATCTCAGTAGTTTTAAGGTAACGAGGATCTGCTTCTCGATCACTTGGAGTTATCACTCCATCGGAAATTATTGTGAAATCATATTTTCACCTTTTTTCCGTTGATCTTAGCTTAGATTTTTCTATTCTGGTGTATAATTATTTGAGGTTTTCTTCCCTGAAAAATAAAAATTTTAAAAATAGAAGTTTGATTTTTGCAGTATATTACGTGTGTCCGACAGTATTTGCTGCGATCTCTGAGGTGAATCAGATTTTGGGGTGGATTGCCGTGTTAATGTGAGGGCTTTGCTGGCGAAAGTTTTAGATTTTGCGGAACTAGATCTGGGAGTTTGTTTTAGGTCGTTAAGGGACAGCTGATGCGATGTCTTCCCTTAGCAGAGAGCTGGTATTTTTGATCTTGCAGTTTCTAGATGAGGAGAAGTTCAAAGAGACGGTTCATAAGTAAGTTTGACTGTGAAAAATTTTGATATTTGATTCAACCTGGTGGTTTTCAGGGTTTTTGAGTTCTTTTTTGTTTTTGGGTGTAGGCTGGAACAGGAATCTGGTTTTTTCTTCAACATGAAATATTTTGAGGATGAGGTTCATATTGGGAACTGGGATGAGGTGGAGCGCTATCTCTCTGGTTTTACCAAGGTTGATGATAATCGGTATTCAATGAAAATTTTCTTTGAAATAAGGAAGCAGAAATATCTGGAGGCATTGGATAAGTATGCAAAGTTTTTAAAAATTCTGTTTTTGATCTTTCATAAAATCTAGCTATCATATTGTGAGTGATAGCTTGGTTTCAATGAATGAATGATTTTGATGCATACTTGCTTTGTAGGCATGATCGTTCAAAGGCTGTAGACATACTTGTGAAGGATTTGAAAGTATTTGCGTCCTTCAATGAGGAGCTTTTCAAGGAAATTACACAGCTTTTGACATTGGAAAATTTCAGGTTTTGTTTTTTTTTTTTTTTCGTTTGTGCACCTCTGTTTCTTCTTTATAATTTTGCTAATTAAGCACTTTTAGGGAAAATGAACAACTTTCAAAGTATGGTGATACAAAATCTGCAAGGAGTATAATGCTGGTTGAGCTTAAGAAATTAATTGAAGCAAATCCGCTATTTCGTGACAAATTACAATTCCCAAACCTCAAAAGTTCAAGGTTGCGCACCCTCATTAATCAAAGGTATGTTGTCTGCAATGCTCTAGATATCTTAGTGCAATCCCAATTAGCTTAACTTTTTTCTCATTTCTAGGGAATTAGCCTGTTTGGCATCACTTTTTGTTATTGTTTTCAAAAAATATGTTTGCAATTATATATATTTTAAATAAATCAAGTTGTGTTTTAAAATACAAAAATTAACTTTTTGGTGTTATTCATTGGTTGGAGTAGCTCCAGTGGAAGATAAGATTAGAGAGAGTCGCCTTAGATGGTTTGGTCACATTAAACGGAGGCATTCCGATGACCCGGTTAGGAAAGTTGAGGTATTAAATTTGACTTATGTTAAGAAAGTTAGAGGTAGACCTAAAAAGACTTGGTTAGAAAATATTAGAAATGATCTTTCTTTGTTAGATTTAAATGAGAATTTGACTTTTAACATGACACAATGGCAAAAAAGGATTCATCTAGCCGACTCCACATAGTGGGACAAAGGCTTGATGTCGTCGTTGTTGTTGTCATTGTCATTATTTTCAAAACATGAGACTCAAATCACCTTGACCTTGCGCACCATGTTATCCAGGCATGCACCCACCCCTAGCCAACCTCACATAGGCCATCGCCACACTGCTAGCTACTTCTCCACCAACCACTACTACTACTTTCTTGTTGCTTTGTCACTGTTACTCTATTGTGCTGTGGTAAGTGCCCCATTGTTCCATTGTTTCCACCCTACTGATCATTGTCAACCACCCTCACTTTGTCGCTGCTTTTGCCTCACCACCATCCTCACAATTGCATTCATTGCCCCAACTACTATCACCGCCCTGCCTTGCCACCACCAGCACCATTGCACACCCTCCCGTTGCCATAACCCTACCCCCACCTGCTTGTTGTTGCGCCATATATGTCAATTTATGTGATATTCAATAGAAACAATCTATTTTTAAAATATTAAACTTATTTTTATTTCATATTAAAATATAGAACAAAATAAATGATAAAAAAAAATAGAATGTCATCTCAAATGGCCCATAAGCCTTCAGGAAATATAGTTTGTAGTTTTAAAGAAATAAGGTGGGCGAGAAGCAATTGAACAAATCAGCAAATGACAAGATTGCTATAATTTCACAATTGAAAAACATTTTTGGATATCAATTTTATGCATGAATTAATGTATCCTATGAAGAAGTTGTTCAAATTTTTATCATCATCTTAATATGACATGCAAATGCTTTTTTATCATTCAAATCACCCTCTAAGTATTCCAAATTCTAAGCCGTGAAGGCACTTGTTTGAGTAAAAGTAAGTTTAAAGTTTTGATGGATTTATCATAAAAAGTGTAAGATTTCAAAAATTGAGAGAAAAATAAAATTATGAGGGTTCTACCTTGGAGTTCTGTTCAAAAGTAGGGGTGATGACATTTTAAGAGGTTTTCAAATTGTGCGAATAATTCATATACTTTTAAATGTACTAAAAACTAATGAAATTATAAACCAAAATCTAAAAATTAATTTACTTATTAAAACTAGAAGGCTTGTCTTCCTACCTAAATATAAATTACAGACCCATCAACAACTCTATGCCTTATTTTGGCTTGGCCCTCGAGAGGAAGAAGAAATACAAAAATTATTGTTAAGGCTTTCAATTTTGACAGAATTAAAGCTATCGAATGGCTTTGAGATGACAAGAAGAAATACAAAAATTAATGTAATAGTATATAGGATTAGGGTTAATGTGCTCATTTTGGAAATTTCATGGGGTTTAAAGTATAATTACACCCATAAATATAACGTGGCACTATGTTCTTTTAGATGAAATTTAAAAACAATCGAGGTGGATTTGTTTTGATCGCCTTTGATCGCTGGTATAAATTTTTGCATAAGATCAATGTTATCTGGGTTGAATGCAAGAACTAGTATCTTGTTTTTAAAATTTCAATTGGGAGCCTGCTGTATCATTATTTCTCTTTGTTTTGTGCTTATGCAAAAATATGTCTTTACTCTTTTCTTGTCCAATATACTTATTTTTAAAAGTGTAGGGCTGAAGTGAAAGTGATTTGCTTTTGCTATATAATCTGGCAGCTTAAATTGGCAACACCAGCTATGCAAAAATCCAAGACCCAATCCAGATATAAAAACCCTTTTTGTCGATCATTCTTGTGGACAACCAAATGGTGCACATTCTTCATCCCCAGCCAACAATCCACTGCTTGGATCCATGCCAAAAACAGCAGGTGGTTTTCCTCCACTTGGTGCACATGGGGTAAGTTGAATGGAGTTGCTTTCTTCCCATCCTTGGTAATCATGATCATTATTATATCTTGTTGGAACATGTTTAGCCTTTTCAGCCCACGCCGGTAACACCCCTTGCCGGTTGGATGTCAAATGCACCCGCTGTAGCTCATCCGGCAATGTCTAGTGGGCCCATGGGACTTAATACTCCTACCAATCCCGGTTAGTGCTTAATTCGGTATAAGTTATCACCTCATGACTCTACTAGAAGTTAATTGTTTTCTTTGTAAATATATATATATATTTTTTTAATTTTTCCTTTTCGATGATAGCTGCTGCAATTTTGAAGCATCCTAGAACTCCTCCAACATGCAATCAAGTTGTTGATTATGCATCAGGAGATTCTGATCACATTTCAAAGAGGAATAGGCCTATTGGAATTCCTGATGAGGTATGCTTGAGCACTGCGGGGAGGATTTTTTTATTTACTTTTATTGATCTATTTCTTTTGAGCTCTTCTTAGATAAAGGCTTCATTTTGGATGGCTTTCTCACTACTTCTTAAAGCAGCTTTCTAGTACAAAAATTTTAATTATTATACTAAAAAGTTCATTTAAGAAGCGGTGAGAAAGCCATCCCAAACAAAGCCAAAGTCTCATAACTCAAACTTATATGTGATTTTCTCATTCTTATCAACACATTTGTGCAGGTGAATCTTCCTGTAAACATGTTACCTGTTCCTTATATGCAGAACCACAACCAGGCAATCTATGCTCCAGATGACTTACCCAAGACTGTAGCCCGAACACTAAATCAGGGTTCGACTCCCATGAGCATGGATTTCCATCCCATTCAGCAAACTATTCTTCTTGGTGAGTTTGATTAATATTTATATTTCTTTTATCAGGAAATTTCTTTTATGATGTAACCTCAACTGCTATCTCTATTATGGTTCAGTTGGCACAAACGTTGGTGATATTGGATTGTGGGATGTTGGAACAAGGGAGAGACTTGTCCTAAAGAATTTCAAGGTTTGGGAACTTGGGGCATGCTCGATGCCTCTTCAGGTTTGTCTAATTTTCATCAATATTTTGGCAGGACTGGTAATTTGAATTAACTGAAATTTCCTTTTACATATTTAGACTGCTCTAGTTAAAGATCCTGACGTGTCGGTTAACCGCATAATATGGAGTCCTGATGGGAATTTGTTTGGTGAGATCATAGAAGTTGATAATTATATTTCAATAGGCGCATTTAAATGAATGATTTTTCTTACCTTTGTCACATGTTTACTCCTTACTTTCCTGTAGGTGTTGCTTACTCAAAACATATCGTACAAGTATATTCCTATCATGGTGGTAATGATGTTAGGCAGCATTTTGAGGTATAAAAAGTACTATTAGCAAGTAATTCCTTTTTAACATTATTGATTTACATTTTCATTTCTTACCCTGTTCTATCGGTTTGCAGATTGATGCCCATGTTGGAGGTGTGAATGATATTGCATTTTCAACCCCCAAAAAGCAACTATGCATAGTAACTTGTGGAGATGACAAGTTAATTAAGGTATCAATATGATATTGGTTGGTACCCTAGCTAAAAATGAACATTTTTCGATGTGTATTTGAGATATGGGATAAATTCATCTTTTATTTTAGGTATGGGATGCAACTACAGGGGCCAAGCAATATACATTTGAAGGTCACGAAGCACCTGTATATTCCGTTTGCCCTCATCACAAGGAAAACATTCAGGTTAAGAAAGAACTATTAGGACCTTATTCATTTTTTAGTACTTGATTGAATTGGTTTTTATAGACATCTTACAAGATTTGCTTAGATTTTAGTAATGAGGGACTGTGAAAAGGTAATCCTGGAAAAATAGCTTATTTTCTTTTGAATTAACTCTATATTAATCCTAATTATGCAGTTTATCTTTTCTACGGCATTAGATGGAAAAATAAAAGCCTGGTTATATGATAATTTGGGATCTAGAGTAGATTATGATGCCCCAGGCCATTGGTGCACTACTATGGCATATAGTGCTGATGGTTCAAGGTTAGTTCGTTTGTGAATCCCATCAGCTGTTATGCGGTCAAATCTTATGTTGCTAAAAGGATTGATTTTTCTATCTTGTAGACTCTTTTCTTGTGGGACTAGCAAAGAAGGGGAATCACACATAGCAGAGTGGAATGAAACTGAAGGGGCTGTCAAAAGGACCTATCAAGGATTTCGTAAACGTTCTTTGGGTGTTGTACAGTTTGATACTACCAGGAATAGATTTCTGGCTGCGGGGGATGAATTCTTGATAAAATTCTGGGACATGGACAACACCAACCTTTTAACTACCACTGAAGCTGAGGGTTCTCTCCCAGTAAGTTTTACATTGATTCTGCTGTGCTAGTTCTGTTAAAATATTTTTAAATTCTAACTTCTCACTTGTGTTTTAGATTCTAACAATTTTATTTGACATTAGGCAAGTCCAAAGATACGCTTCAACAAGGAGGGTACTTTGTTGTCTGTTTCTACACTTGATAATGGAATTAAAATCTTGGCTAATGCTGATGGATTGCGTTTGCTTCGCACTTTTGAAAACCGTCATTTAGATGCTTCAAGGACGGTGTCGGAAACCATGGCAAAGGTATACCAGTATAGCCATCTAGCCTTGACCATAATACAAAAAGTCTTTTTATTATTGGTTTTTGGTATTTTGTAGCCTATTATAAATCCATTGTCTGCTGCAATCACTACTGCGACCACCGCTGTTACCAGTGCTACAATGAGTGATAGGCCTGCTACCGTAGGGATTGCAACTGGAATGGTCTGTTGTTCTTCTGCTTGCAGATTGTTGATTTTGTTATACACATTTAAATTTTACCATTGACACCATTTTGGCAACCTTTTGGCTCTGTTATGATAAGTTCTATGTGGATGCATGGCTAGAAACTTCCATTGACTCTCATGTTCATATAACTTGTTTAGAATGGAGACAGCAGAAGTTTGGTGGATGTGAAGCCAAGATTAATGGACGAGTCCATGGAGAAATCAAGGCTCTGGAAGCTGACTGAAATTAGTGATCCATCTCACTGTAGATCTTTGCGGCTAATGGATAATCTGAGACCAATGAAGGTATATCTTTCAGGCTGTGGATTCTTGTAACGTGTTGTTATCCGTTTTCTTCTATGGACATTAAAGAGTTTTTTTTTTTTTTTTTTAAGGCTTCATATGATTTGCTCTTTTAGTTTGAAATTATCCCAATTATTGGAGATATGGTCTCAAAAAATGCGGAATGTGTATTTAGATATTAAATATGGCTTTCATATAAATGCGCAAGTACCCCTTCTCTGTACCTCAATCCCTCCTTCCCGACAATAAAAACAAGCACAAAAACATGCCTTCATCCTTTACGCTGTCCATTATGGTCCTGGAGGGAACGATGCAACTCCTGTCCTCCATAAATGAATGTTGGGTGTTTAATTTGATGCTTAACACTAATGTCTTGGTAATGGTAAAGTTAAAATGGCTGTTTCATGTTTCCGTTGATACACTCTTTACTGTTCATTCTTATTATACTAATGATTTTAATATTCAACAAAAACAACATCAAGCCTTTATCCGACTACATGGGGTCGGCTACTTGAATCATTTTTCTCCACTATGTCTTATTAAGAGTCAAATTCTCCTTTAAATCTAATAAAAATAGGTAATTTCTAATACTTTCTAACAACATTTTTTTAGGTCTACCTCTATCTTTCTTAACATAGGTCAAATCTAATACATCTAATTTACTAATCAGATCATCAGAAGGTTGATGTTTTATGTGATCAAATCATCTAAGGCAACTCTCTCTAATCTTATCTTCCATTGGAGTTGCTCCAACCTTTTTAGATATCTACTCATTTTGCATTCTGCCTCCAACCGTAAAACCACTCGTCAACCTGAGAATCCTTATCTTTGCAACACTACACTTAATTTTATGGTTCTCTTTTAATTGATAATATTTTGAGCCATAAAGCATTGCAGGTCTCACCACATCTTATAGAATTTTCCCCTAAGTTTAAGGGGTACTTTTCTATTAAACAAGTCCGATGCATTTCCTTACTTCAAACATCCAATTTGAATTCTGCTATCAGTATCTCCATCTATTTTACCATCGTTTTGAACAATAGACCCGAGATATCTAAAACATACACTCGTTTTACTGACTTGATCACCCAATGTCACAATCTCACCATTAGATTTAGTACTTCTAAAACTACACTCCATGTATTTAGTTTTATATCTACTAAAACTAAAACTTTTAGACTCCAAGGTTAACCTCTATAATTCAAAATTTCCCTCTCTTAAACTAATTATTTTAATATATTAAAAATAAATTGTTTGTCGAATATTCATTGAAACCTTATAATGTTTGTCTATTATATTAAGGACACTTAATTTTCATTACGTATCCAAAAATGTATGAGAACTAGCTTTTTGGATTCAAAATTATCAGTGGTGGATGCCTGAATTTACTAACAAGTAATATCTAAATGAGAGTTGAGAAGCTAAGTAGAATCTCAGTTTGCATGGAGGCTAAGAGTTGTATGTATCCTAAAAGTCTCAAAGCAAGTTATATGGAACCTAAAAATATCTTAAAGATTAAAAAAGTCTCAAGTATGTCTCTTCACCTTTTATTTGTAGGGATTGGAGGGTTATAAGGAATGTTACACCTAATAATAAAAAGTAATGAATAATACAGTGTAGACACGACTTATTATAAATTTCGCAGACAAGTGGCCTAGCTTATTAATCTTTGCATGGATCTTTTCTTCCAACACAACTCTCTATCCTAGGGCCTGTCCCCTGTGTGAGTCTTCATAGGCGAGGTTTTTGGGCGCGTCCTCGGGATAGGGTGTATAGGTTGAATCTGTGAAGACAAATCCTCTGGATGTGGTGACGAATCCATGGGGATAAGACTAAGACCTTTGGAAATGAATGACAAGTCATCTTGAATAAAAATGATCGTGAGCTAAGGACAGCTTTAGCCTGAGAATCATAATTATTGACTTTCAAGGTTTATGTTTCCTGTAGCTAGATCGAGGGTGCTAGTAGTAGTCGAGTGGCCTTGATTATGGACAATGACCGTAGATGAATGGTTCTTGTTGAGGTGAATGATAGCTGAAGCTCAGATGAGTTTGGATGAGTCATTTCAAGAGACTTCCTAAGGATGATCACTCTTCGCCTGGCCTACCATGATGAGTCTTCTCATTACTGACTTGCTAGGAGAGTGGTCATGTGTCTGCATATCAGTGCTGACTAGCTTATTGTGCAGTCACTTTCCCTCATGGCGAGTGCTCCCCTGAGGTAAAGCAACCACTTCGATTAAGTCTCATAGCTGGGATTTGTTAGGTACCTGCAAGATACCGACATAGACACGTACATACGAATATACAAAGTTGTTACATGGTGTCAGTCATAAAATTCAGCTTCTTTCAGTAGTTTGCAATAACATTAAAATTATGTGGAAAGGCTGCAGTTTCCAGGATTTGAAATGGAATATTTCTTAACAGCTTTGGATGTTATCTTTCTCGTCATGAACCTTTAATATAATCCTTGGATACTTATGTTTGACACTCTAATATGGAGTTCAAAATCTATAACATCAGATGCATTTTTTTGTGGAGACTTTTCGTCATCCTTGTAGAACACTTGATATGATGATCCATACCTTTATCAGGAACATACAGTAATATATAGTTGATGATCATGATGATCCCAATTTACAAATCAAACTTGGTCGCTTCTTATTTGATGGACGTCACCCAAATTTTTTTTTTTAATTGTAATGAGGACTATTTATAGTGCAACAACATGCCTAAAATAGGATTGTATCATTTGCCTACTGTAATTTAACTGGATCTTCCAAATATTAATGGAGACTGGAGAGGTGTTGCCAATGAAGCACTGCAAAATTAAGTAAAATCCATTGATACTGGATGAAATGAAATGTAAACTAAATTAAAATTACGTTTTTCAATATCACTACCAACAGGTTTGTACACAGACCCCAATCTGCATCAAGGTTCATTTCACTATGAATGAATACTTGAACATATTTTAAGAACAATCTTTAAGATGTTGTTCTCGTGAAAAAATAAGGGTGATAAAAGGTAAATTCATTAATGTCTTATGCTTGGATATGATGAAAGTAGAATTTCACCAACCTACTTCTCTGAAGATGGCTTTCACCGAGTCATAGAAATTGATAAGTGCATTCAGAGAAAAATAAGGATGAATGATCTCTTCGGGACCTCCTTTAGATCTGTCATTTCAACACCTATGCAGTCTAGGTAACCTAGTAGAAATGCACAACCTTTTTCTTATAATGCTACGATGGTGCATACAGACACAACATGGTCTAGGATTTGTGTTGGGCTTTAAGCAAAAAAATGAAAATGAAATCATAAAGTAATTGAATTGACAACAGTTTTCACCCATTTATTTGGTTGAGATGAAATTGAATAAATTTTTTATGTCTTTTTTGGTTCATAAGAACTTTAGTTTTTGCTTTTCTAAGTGAATATGTGATTCATAATGATTTCTCAATAAATTGTCCTTCAAAATTTTCACTAGGTGGGGTAGAGAATTTTAAATGAAAATATTCATTTGTTTACATTTTTTATAGATAAATCCAATTACTTGTTAATTTTATTAAAACTAAAAATTCAATATGAAATTGTGAAGTAAAATGCATTTGCATTTACTTCAATTCCTTTAAACCAAACATACCAAAATGTCAACAAGCAGGTTATATAACACATCAATCCCTCTCATGCTTTAGCAGTTGAGTCTGTTGGGTTTTAGGATGGCATGTTTGTGGTCCATATGAGAATATGAATGATAATGATCCATATTCTAGGGATGAATAGTTAAATTCTAGATTAAAATAAACATTATTTTATTCCTATAAAACAAGGGAAAAATATCTGAGAATGCATATATTTTTTAAAAACTCATTTCAAATTTTTAATATACTTGTAGAATATTATTATTGTCTTTTCAGGTAATATAATATTCTACTTGTTATATTCAATCTTAGAAATGAATGATTTTATAAAACTCATTCTTGTTTTTAGATGTCTTGAAGAGTATTTTGTTCGTCTTTTAAGATGATATAATATTTTCATTGTTATTTCTAATCAAAAGAGTGGATATATTTTTAAAATCCTATTTTTATTTTTAAACACTCTATAAAATTGCATGCTCATCTTTTCGAAATGATATGTTATTCTTTGAATTGTGTTTGATCATAAAAATATAATTTTCTAAAACCTTATTTGATATTGAATCCATTGTAGAATATTGTGTAAGTCTTCCGAAATAGACTTTATTCTCAATGTAGTATTCGATTACAATATAGAAGTCCGAATATGCGTGGTGGCGAATAATTTTCCCATACACACTTTTCTTCTTATCTTGACTCCTTGTAATTGTCCTGGTAGTTTCTTGGTGTTGGATTAGCTTATTTCCTACCAAGAAAGGACATAACCTCAGCTATTGTTTTGTCAATGTGGTAAACTTGATTGGAAGCTTTAAGCTTATAACAATTAAAAGTTCAATTTGGTTGCATTGCATCTTTATTTTGAGTTAACTGCTAGTTGGTTTTGTTTTCTTTGTGTATTTGAATTGACTTTTGTTCAATTTTTGAATTGTATTGATTTTTGGAAGGCATCATTGCAAGTGTAAAAGGTTCACCCTGCATTGTCTAACGCATAGTACTATCTATTTTTGTACTACTTTACCATTTATTGCACCGTAGGGTGAAAACTCACATGAGTTGCTTTGGAAATTGTTCTGTTTGGGCTTTAGGAATGGAACATGTGGCACTATCTATAAGACATAACTACGAAAGTAGTGATATGGTATGCTAATAAAATCATCATATATATTAATAAATAAAGAATTCTCAATAATTAATATATATTAGAATAATAAATACTATATATTCTTACCATAATTATTAGGTATATGTTCTAATATTTATATGATAAGGAATAATTTTAATTACTCTTACAATAAGGGCCTGTCTTAAAGTACAAAAAGGCATGTCCTATAGGTATGCTCCCATGAATATAAGAAATGATTTACTGCATTTTCATATTGCTTTATTTTAGAAATTGTTAGGATTTTGTTAATTTTATGTTGCTACTATCCGAATATAAATGGAAGATTTAGTTTCTATTGTTCTCATTGAAGTTTGATGAATGATTGAAAAATATTCTGTTCTATTTGGATTGGAAGTCCTCTTGTTGTTCCAAAGGCAAATCTTCAAAAATTGTTAGAGGCAAGTCATGGCTCAGCTAGCTGGTCAATCTCTTTCTCTTCGTTACTTCCATCTTATTATGTATTACCTTTCTCTGATTTTTTAGTGATTCGATGTATTGTGATATTGGATTTATTCCAACCTTGTACATCTGGGCCTTTTCAATCTCTGCATGATGTCTTAATATCTGCGCTACTTTTATGATCTTATATCACGTGGTGCATCTTCTTTGAATAAGCTTCTTTTATTTATCTCATTAATCTTTAAATTCTCTTACTTCGTGTCTAGATCAGTAGTCTTAGGCTTCATTTGGGGCAACTTTCTTACTGCTTTATAAAGCAACTTTTTATTACAAAAATTTAATTTTTTTACTGTAAAGTTGTTTTAAGAAGCAATAAGAAAGCCGTCCCAAACGAACCTTAAATATTTGTTGTGTTAGGTAACATGCTTTCCAATCAAAATTTTCATGTCAGGTTTTCACATTATATTTTAGATTCCCCTTGTATTGTAAAAACAAATTTTGATGAAATTTGGATTTCATTTTTTTCCATCATTGCATTACATTAATTTTGGATTAGGAAACCCACCTCGGTATGTTATGCGTACCATTTCATGTTGAAGTTTCACTCCAAAGTCTTTACCTTTGACGGATAAATTTTTTTTGCTTGATTAAATTCTTTTACTGCAGATTCAAAGGTTAATTTATACAAATTCTGGTGTTGCATTGTTGGCTTTAGCATCCAATGCCATTCATCTTCTTTGGAAATGGCCACGAAATGAAAAAAATTCTACTGGAAAGGTAATAAAAAATGCATATTCATGTAAATATCATAATTTTAATTTGATTTTAATGTTCTAATAACTATTCAGTAATTGGTGTTCTGTTCACAGGCAACAACAAATGTTCCTCCTCAGTTATGGCAACCTCCAAGTGGTATATTAATGACTAATGATACTACAGATACGAAACCAGAAGAAGCGGTCCCTTGCTTCGCTTTGTCAAAGAACGACTCTTATGTTATGTCTGCATCAGGAGGCAAAATTTCTTTGTTCAATATGATGACGTTCAAGGTTAGTTTTGATGTTGAATTTTTATCTATTTAATAATTTTTAGTGGTCTGTACAAAAAAAAAAAAAACTCTCCTTTGTTTCTAACAGACTATGACAACCTTTATGCCTCCGCCACCTGCTGCGACATTTCTTGCATTCCATCCTCAAGATAACAACATAATTGCAATTGGAATGGATGATTCCACTATCCAAATATATAATGTTCGAATTGATCAGGTATCAAACTACAAAACATTTTATACTCACTAATGCTTGCTTCTTATAGAAATTCACATCAATCTCTCAGCAAACAATCCTTGTATTCTGTATATTTTAATTATGGGATCATTGTCCATCTTACCAATCTGCTTGTTTTGATTTTTCTTGTGTTGTGTGCTTTAATTATTTCTTAATTCTAGGACTAATAATTGATTTTGTTTTGCTCCGATAAATTTATGACAATTCATGTAATTTATAACGATTTTAATAGAAGTATCACTTTTATTTCTCTCTTATTTTTAATATGGTATTCGAGTAATTCATATTTCGAGCTCCTCACCTCGGGTCAAAGTTCTACATTCCAAAAACTCGCTTTATTTTGATTTTTAAACTCACCAAGGTTGCATCTCTACGATTTCATGCAATTTCTTCCTCATCTTGTGATCCACGAGATATTCACATGATTTGTTTCTCATATTTGATTCCTGTCAATTTGTATCCCAATTTGGTTGATCTTTGAACCCAGTGTGGATTTTCTTCCTCACCGAGCTCACCCTTATATTATCCCTCCAGAGAAATGAATGTATTCATCCTCACTGGACGCAGGTGGTCAACTTTCGCACGCAGATCCACGAAATTTTTTATGAACTCACAAGCTCCGAAAAAATTGTTGAAGTGTAACCCCCCCATCTCAACCTTGTGAGTCTATTTCTAGCCAAGTAACTCTAATTTGATTCCTTTCTCATAACGGCGACTATGATTAAACAAGAAAGACCTCACAAAAAAAAAAAAAAAAAAAAAACTCCGACGACAGCACCATCAATCATCACCATCAATCATGAACTAATTATTAATGATATCATCAGTAATCATGACAGCTTCTGTTCAAATCTTCCATTCATTAGGCATAAATGGAACAGGAAAAACTACGTCCAATAGGCCCAATTAGCTATAATGTTCATAAGTGGAAAATTCAAGGATTATATCATGGGTGTAGCCGTTCCTTCTCTGAAAGAAGATAAGAAACTCAGAACTTGGCGATCTGAAAATATTATGGTAATTTATTGTCTCAATAACACCATGATAAATAAAATTGGCCTATATTTCATGCTATATGCTATGATAAAAAGAAATTTGGGATGCTGCAAACGAGATTTATTTAGATAATGAGAATACCGCCGAGTTATTGAAAATCAGAAGGTACACTACAATCTTGGACAATGTGATCTTTCTATCACTTAATATTATAACGCCCTTAATAGATATTGGCAACAATTGGATATTTTTGAAGAGTTGAACCAAGAAATGCCCTCAAGTATTGGAGAATTGTTGAGAAAAACAAGATAGCCAAATTTCTTCTCAGACTAAATAAAAATATTTTTGATATCCAAGGAATAATATTAGGATAAAAAACCCTTACATCTATTCAAGAAGTATTCTCTTGAAGTTTGGAGAGAGGAAAGTTGTTAGAAAATCATGATTAGAGAAAAAAAAATCATGATTAGAGATCAAAGTACTTCAACAACTCCAAAAAAACTCTGCACTCACATCTCAAGATATGTATACATCCAATGAAAACTCCTAGGGAAAAAAAAAAAAGGCCTTAGTATGATAACTATTGGAAATCTTGACACAAAAGAAACCTACTAGAAGTTTATGAGAAACCAGCGTTTTGAAAAGTAGGGAAGCAAGGTCAAGGAGTTTGAGCAACCAACAATGAATATCTGTAGCTATCTACATTCACACTTCCATCATTCTATTAAGAACAAATAAAAATGCTTAAAAAAGGTGTTTAACCAACTACAAACAAGTTCAACTCTATCGACATTTGACATCAGCTTTAGATCAACTGCTTAAAAATGCATGGTTGTAAATATTTTTAATTCAAAGATTCACAAGATCCAATCATAAATTGTGGACTTAGGAGTTCCATATTACATGACTGGACCTATCTCACTTTTTATAGAATATACTCATGTTCCAAAGAGTACTACTCTATAAGGATTGCCAATGGATCATTATCTACTACTGCAAACATTGAAAAATGAAAATCTCAAATTCTATATCCTTAAATATAATTTTATTAGTTCCCAAACTTTTCATATAATCTCTTATCTATCAATAAAAGTACTGGGGAGATCAATATAATCTCTTATCTATCACACTGAATTCAAGATTTGATCTCAAGGAAAATGACTGGCAATACAAAGGAGAATATTGGACTCTCTCTTAGATGCTGAAAAAATCTTATGTTAAATATAGAATATGCATAGTATGTATCTTTTTTTAAAGGAAGCACCATCATGTTATGACACCTCCATCTTGATCATCCAAGTTTTATTTATTCAAAAAAATTATTCTCATCTTATGATAATAAAAATCTAGAATTGTTTATGTGTGAAACTTGTCGACTTTCAAAATACACTAGAAACTCATATTCGAGGCATGCATATAAATCATCTTAACCTTTTTTTTTATTATTTATAGTGGTATCTTGAGATGTTAGTTTTGTGTTGAATTTAATTGTGTCAATTGATCGTGTTGTATTGTTGTCTCGGAGCGCAATTCAGTATGTTGAGCTTGTTGGAGGGTTGCAGAGGGTCCTTTCCCTGTTTGGGTTCTAGCACCTCGGTGATGTATACCCGAGCGCCCCTACGTTATGTACCCAAGCGCCCTAGCGCTGTACACCTGAGTGCCTTGGCATACATATTTTACTTGGAGAAAAACATATAGTAGCACTACGTGCTCAAGACCCCAACGTCGCGGCGCTGTCAAGAAGACTGGAGACAAAAAGTTGAGCGCCATGATGCTCTAACTTGGCGCCACAGTGTTGTGAGTCCGGCCGAGTGGTTTTCTTTATCATTTTTATTAATGGTTACACCCCTTGGTGGTTTTGAATGTATCTCTTTGTATGTTCTAGTATGAGAACATAGAAGAGAAGCAAAGAGAGAGTGAGAGTAGTGGATTTCTTAGTGTGATGTGACTCTGTGATTTTTTCCACATTTCGAATTTTTCTACTTTATCCTGATGTTTCTTCTTTTCCGCTGCATTTTCTCTTTCTTATTTGTATTAGATTTGACTTATGTTAAAAAAGGTAGAGATAAACCAAAAAAGATTTGGTTTGAAAATATTAGAATAACCTTTCTTTATTAGATTTAATTGAGAATTTGGCCTTAATAGGACATGATGGAGAAAAAAGGATTCATGTAGCCGACGCCACGATGAGATAAAGGCTTGATGTTGTTGTTGTTTGTTTTACTGCATGATTTTACTTCCCCCAACAACTGGTATCAGACCCACAATTTTTTTAGATCGAATGGGAGTAATGGATGACAAAGCAATATTCAAGATTGAGAAGTTCAACGGTTTGAACTTTGCATTATAGAGGATGCAAATCAAAGATATGTTGTACCAGAAGAAGTTGTATTTGCCATTGGAAGGAATCACAAAGAAGCTAGATTCAATGACTATAGAGGAGTGGGTGGTTCTTGAATAGACTGTACTAGGTTTAATTCAACCTTTACTTTCCTCATATGTTGCGTTTAACATTGTAAATGAGAAGACTACAATTGATCTCTACATTGATTAAGATGTATGAGAAGCTGCTAGCCTAAAAAAAAAAAAGCTGCTAGCCTCAAACAAGTTGTTTAATATGAAGATGTTAGACAACACTTCAATGGCAGAGCACTTGAATAATCTGAACATTTTGATGAGTCAATTATGTTCAGGTGGAATCAAGCTTGATAATGAGATGAGAGCATTGTTAGTGTTATCTTCATTGCGATGTAGTTGAGATGGGATGGTTACTGCTATGAGTAACTCTTTAGGAAGTTCAAAATTGTACTTTGAGGATACTGTGGGGTTCGCATGAAGACTAATGGTAAATCTTAAAATTCTACTATAAATGTTGAAGCAAAAGGAAGGGTTTAGAGAGAAATCCAAGTAGTGGGAAATCTAAATCAAGGAGAGGAAAGTCTACTTCAGGTAGAGTGAAAGTTTTGTGCTAGAATTATGGACAGAATGACCACTTGAAAAAGGACTGTATTGTTCCAAAGATGACGAGTGGTGGAGGTCAAGACAAAAATTTCTTGACAAATATTTATACATAAGAGTTTCAATCAGATTATCTGATTTTGTCTCTAGATAATATTGAATCTTGGGTTATAGATTTAGGTGCTTCATTTTATCTAAGTCCAAACAAGGAGGTGTTCAAGAATTACATAGAAGGTGATCTAGACAAAGTGTATTTGCGAGACAACAAGTCCTGCATCATTTTAGGACAGGGAGATGTTGATATCAAAATATCAGATGGTTCAACTTGAAGATTCAAAGATGTTAGGCATATTCCTTGCCTAAAGAGGAACTTAGTTTCTGTGAGTCAGCTTGTAAACTCAAGCCATGTGTCATCATTTACAGGAAATTCTTGGATGGTGACAAAAGGGGCTATGGTTATAGCTTGTGGCAGTATTGAAGGCACCCTATTTATTATCAACAAAAGATTAAATTCTGTTGGACTAGCTGGTTCAGATGTTGATGGAGGTCTTTGCATTGAAGGTTTGGCCATATGAGTAAGAAAGATATGCATTAACATTTTAATAGAGGAAAACTTCTTGGTTTAAAATTTTGAGTAAGAAAGATATGTATTCACATTTTAATAGAGGAAAACTTTTTGGTTTAAAATTTTTACACATTTTTTTTTAAGATTGTTTATATGGCAAGCAACGAAGGGTTAGCTTTTCAAAAATTGATTCAAAAGTAAAGTCAAAGAAGCTAGAGTTAGTGTACATTAATGTATGAGGTTCTACCCCAATTTTTTTTTTCTTTATAGAAGGTTCTCTCTATTTTGCCACTTTTATTGATTCTCATAGCAAAAAGGTATGTGTACTTCTTAATACATAAGTAAGATTTGTTTGATATTTTCAAGAAGTGAAAGGTCATGGTTGAGATTGAGATGGGTTTAAAACTCAAGTGTCTCAGATCAGATAATGGTGACGAGTATCGTGATAAGAACTTCAAGG